TGTTGGCCTATTGAGTGCAGCTCTTTCACAGCATCATCTTTTAGGATTTGAAATAGCTCAACTGGAATTTCATCACCTCCGTTTACTTTTTTCGTAGTAATGCTTCCTAAGGCCCACTTGACTTCACATTCCAGGATGTCTGGCTCTAGGTGAGTGATCACACCACCATGGTTATCTGGGTCATTAAGATTTTTTTTTTGTATAGTTGTTCTGTGTATTCTTGCCTTGCCACCTTTTCTTAATATCTTTCTCTTCTGTTAGGTCCATACTGTTTCAGTCCTTTATTGTGCCCATCTTTGCATGAAATGTTCCTTTGGTATCTCTAATTTTCTTGAAGAGATCTTTAGTCTTTCCCATTCTATTGTTTTCCTCTATTTCTTTGCATTGATCACTGGGGAAGGCTTTGTTATCTCTCCTTGCTATTCTTTGGAACCCTGCATTCAGATGGGTATATCTTTCTTTTTCTCCTTTGCCTTTAGCTTCTCTTCTTTTCTCAGCTATTTGTAAGGCCTCCTCAGACAACCATTTTGCCTTTTTGCATTTCTCTTTCTTGGAGATGGTCTTGATCACTGCCTCCTATACAATATCATGAACCTCCATCCATAGTTCATCAGGCACTCTGTCTATCAGATCTAATCCCTTGAGTCTATTTGTCACTTCCACTGTATAATTGTAAGGGATTTTATTTAGGTCATAACTGAATGGTCCAGTGGTTTTCCCTACTTTCTTCAATTTAAGTTGGAATTTTGCAATAAGGAGTTCATGATCTGAGCCACAGTCTGCTCCTGGTCTTGTTTTTGCTGACTGTATAGAGCTTCTCCTTCTTCGATGGCAAAGAATATGATCAATCTGATTTCGGTATTGACCATTTGGTGATATCCATGTGTAGAGTCAACTCTTGTGTTGTTGGAAGAGGGTGTTTGCTATGACCAGTGCATTCTCTTGGAAAAACTCTGGTAGCCTTTGCCCTGCTTCATTTTGTACTCCAAGGCCAAACTTGCCTGTTACTCCAGGTATCTCTTGACTTCCTATTTGTGCATTCCAGTCCCCTATGATAAAAAGGACATCTTTTTTTGGTGTTAGTTCTAGAAGGTCTTGTAGGTCCTAAAAGAAATGTTCAGCTTCTTCAGCATTAGTGGCTGGGGCATAGACTTGGATTACTGTGATGTTGAATAGTTTGACCTGGAAATGAACAGAGATCATTCTGTAATTTTTGAGATTACACCCAAGTACTGCATTTCAGACTCTTTTGTTGACTATGAGGGCTACTCCATTTCTTCTAAGCGATTCTTGCCCTCAGTAGTAGATATAATGGTCATCTGAATTAAATTCGCCCATTCCAGTCCATTTCAGTTCACTGATTACTAAAATGTCTATGTTCACTCTTGCCATCTCCTATTTGACCACTTCCAATTTACCTTGATACATGGACCCAACATTCCAGGTTCCTATGCAATACTGTTCTTTAGAGCATCAGAGTTTATTTCCATCACCAATCACATCCACAACTGGGGGTTGTTTTTGCTTTGGGTCCGTCTCTTCGTTGTTTCTGGAGTTGTTTCTCCACTCTTCTCCAGTAGTATATTAGCCACCTACCAACCTGGGGAGTTCATCTTTCAGTGCCATATCTTTTTGCCTTTTCATACTGTTCATGAGGTTTTCAAGGTAAGAATACTGAAGTGGTTGCCAACTCAGTATTCTTGCCTTGGGAAGGGGTCAAGGGCCCTGGAGACGGAGAAAAAAGGGTCTGGGGCTCTCAAAGAGGAGAAAAGGACAAACTTTTTTTTCCCTACATTGCCTTGTCTTTAAACCCAGAGCTAATGATTACACAACACTCATCTTAAACTCTATACTAAGGATTACAGAACAATAATGTATCTCGCTGGAGGACTTGTTTCTCCTTTGTTTTAACAAGAACCTTCTGACTAATCTTGTTATCTTATGTGGGAGTAGAGTCTGGTAAAAACCTTTGTATTGTTAGTTCTAATCTTGTTAATTTAAGATGTATGCTGTAGGAATGAGTCTAGTAAAAGTATATAAGGCCTTGAAAAGACTAGTGAGGGGGCATTCTCCTTCCCCCTTCTGATGTCTTATGTCAGAAGCTTTCTCTGTCCATTTTAAACTTTAATAAAACTCTGCTACACAAAAGCTCTTGAGTGGTCAAGCCTGGTCTCTGGTCCTGAAGCTAAATCTTCTTCGGAAATCATGAATCCAACATCATCCACTGTAAGCTATCAAGATGTGCCTTATGGAGAAAATAAGCATGTTAGATAAGCTTCATTCAAGTGTGAGTTATAGTGTTGTGGGCTCTGAGTTCAATGTTAAGCAATCTACAATGTACATTAAACAAGATGCCCTTAAACAAAACAAAACACACACACACACATTTAGGTATTGATCAACTAATGAAAATGTGATCTGAGGCTTGCAAGAACCTAACTCTGTATTTTCCCTGGGAGCAATGGGTCAGTATTTGCCATTTACGTGTTTGCTGCAACATTATAGACCAGAACTGCTGCCAATAATGAGAATCAACTGTATCTACTTCTGAGGGCTATTGTGTGGACTAGATCATGTTGTGCATGTAAAGCATTTTACACACTGCTTACAGCAAATAGGAGCTTTCCTGGTGGCTCAGATGGTAAAGAATCCACCTGCAATGCAGGAGACCTGGGTTAAATAAGAAAGATTCCCCTGGAGAAAGGAGTGGCAACACACTCCAGTATTCTTGCCTGGAGAATTCCACGGACAGAAGAGCCTGGTGGGTTACAGTCCATCCAGTCGCAAACAGTCAGATACAACTGAGTGACTAACACTTACAGCAAATAATAGGGAAAAAAGATACTATGCACTCCAGAGAAAACAGACCTGCTTTTGTAAAAGGCATGCAGCATGGGTTAGCCAGTTAGAGCCGCAGGGAATCAGAGTGAGGCCCTGGGTAATCACCACACTGGCCTTCAGCCAGGGCATGGCGGGGGAGCTGCGTTTGCCAGACGCACTGCATTGTTCCTTAACGATCACACATGGCCATTAAGACACAAACGGAAGAAGGCCATCCACTAAACCGCCCATACGGCTTTCCTTGGCACCCTGGGCTTGTCATGGTTTCTGTCCAAGGCTTGACTAGCCCTGTGCCTGCTTAAAAGGGGGGCAAAAGAACACCACTCCAACATGATCAGTAAATGGACTCTTTTGCGGGGGGGCTTAAAATAAAAAAAAAATTAGTTGTTTGGTGTCTTAGTTGCAGCATGTGGAATCTTTGACCTTCACTGCAGCACGCAGACTCTTAGCTGCAGCATGTGGGATCTAGTTCCCTGACCAGGGATAGAATCCTGGCCTCCTGCATTGAGAGTGTGGAGTGTTAGCCACTGGACCACCAGGGAAGTTCCAAAAAATTAATTTAAAAAATTGAAATAATTGTAGATTCACATGCAGTTGTAAAATGTAACACAGAAAGATCCCATGTACCCTTCTCCACCATGTTACCCAATGGTATTAATAATGTCTTGGAAAATTATAGTACAATAGCACTATTGCTTTTGATACAGTCAAGATACACAACATTTCAATCACCTTAGGAGAGCTCATGTTTCCCTTTTATAGCTAATCCCACTCCCCATTCCCCCCTCCCATGCCCTTAACTGGTGGAAATCACAAATACATTCTCCGTTTCTATAATTTTTGATCTTTCAAGAATTTTATGTAAATAGAATCATATGTGACCTCTTGACATCAGCTTTTCCCACTCAGCACAATTCTCTGGAGCTTTATCCAAGTTGTTGTGTGTATCAAGAGTTCATTCCTTCTTACTGAAGGGTAACATTCCATTTTATATGACATGTCCAGAACTGGCAAATCCATAGAGACAGAATGCAAACTAGTGGTGGCCAGAGGCTGGGGAAGATGTGGGCAAATAACTGTAAAGGGGTACAGGGTTTCTTCTTGGGGTAATGAAAATGTTCTGGAATTAATGTTTGTAACTGTCATCCACAACTTTATGGACATGCTAAAAAAAAACATTGAATCGCACACCTTAGGTGGGTGAATTGTATGGTATGTGCAGTATATCTCAATGCATCTGTTCTTAACCAGAGTATCATAACTGTAATAGTTTGGTTATGATCTGCTCCCCTGAATCCAAGTTCTTGAGGACTGGTGTCAGGCAGCTCACTGTTAGTCCCCAAGAAGGCCCTGCCTGTAGTAAGTGGGTAAAGAAATATCTCTCAAAATGAATTACCCTTAGAATAGGGTTTCTCCACCTTGGCACTGCCACTGTTGGGGCCAGGTTCTTCTCTGTCATGGGGCACGTGCCTGCACACTGCTGGCTGTTGTGCAGCACCTCTGGTCCCCACCTACTTGATGCCAGGAGCACTCCCAGTCATGACAGCCACAGATGTCCCTAGACACTGTCCACTGTCCTCTGGGGGCAAAACACTACAGTTGAGAACCGCGAATTTAGAGCCACTGATTTTAGGTACTGGAGCCTTCTAAGAAAAGACTGGCACACAGGGCACTGACAAGCAGGACTTTGCTGTATCAGCAGGGCCATATTCACCCAGCCAGAAATGGTCAGTGGGGCGACGAAACCTCGCTCAAGAGCACAAAAAGGAAAAACTACTACCAGCCTCGAAATCCCTAAGCTGAGAGGTTAAACGGAAGTCCAATATGGGGCGGGGCTTGCGGCAAGGGACGGAGCTTGAACCAAATCAGAGAGGGTCGGTTCTGGGACTCCACCAGAAGAGGGTCGAGCCAAAGATCCTGATGCTGAGCAGAGGGAAAGTGGGGACTCCGAGTAAGGGGAGGGGCTCGAGGCAAAGACACGCCCTCGGAAGCAGACTAGGAAGCGAGAAGGCTAGAGCTTCGCGATGGGGGGCGGGGCCTGTGGCGCGTGGCGGGGCGCGAGAGGCACGCGGCCCAGGCGCCGGCCAGATGACGTCATGCGCTGACGGCCACGCCCCTTCGCGCCTCCTGGTCGGCGGGCGCTCGGTAGAGACGCCAAGATGGCGGCGAGTAACTATTATGGCTTTGCGCAAGGCGTCGGCTCGCAGTACAGGTAACGGCCCCCGCGCCGCTCGCGCCGCCCGACCTCAACCCCGGCCCCGGGGAGGCCACGGCCCCGAGTTGTTTCTGTCGGGGAAAGCCGGAGGGGCTCCTGACGTGGGAACGGGCTCTCGGCTTGTCGCGGGGATGGGCCCGAGGGGGATTGTACCTCAGCGTCTGCCGAAGTCTGATCACAAAAGGGGCTGTCCTGGGAGGACGCAGCACCTGAGGTGGGGGAGAGAAGACCGGCGTGGGATGGTATCTGGCTGGGTTAGGGGCGGGGCAAGGGCCAAGGACAGAGGGCGGGGAAGTCGTGACCCCATTTGTGGTGGGGGTGGGGCGAGTAGGGAGAAGACAGACCTGTGAGGGCACCTGGCGGGGCAGGGGGTGGAGCAGAGAGACCTGGGCGGGGAGCAGGGGTGTGGAGCTGGAAACCTGACCCCTGATTGGGAGCAAGACAGCCTTGGAGGGGTTCCTGACCAGGCTGGGGGATTTGAAGTTCGGAGGGATGAACCCTGGAGGGGGGCAGGGGGTGCTAGAGAACACACAGACCCGGGAGGGAGAGACAGAGGCCTGGGGGAGGGGGATAGAGGCCTGACTGGAGGGGTGGGCCGGGACTCAAGGAAGTAGCAGTCTGGACCTGAGGGAGGTCCTGAGATCCAATAGGAGAGCGGGCACCAGGGGCTTCCGGGGGACGGGAACCGTAAGGAAGGGTAGAGGGACCCCGAATCCTGAAAGTCAGTGGAGGAGGCCATTGGGTATTTGAGATGTAGTAACAGACTCGGAGAAGGAAATTCTTGCCTGGAAGATCCCATGGACAGAGGAGCCTGGCGGGCCACAGTCCATGGGGTCGCAAAGAGTTGGACGAAATTGAGTGACTAACACTAACAGACTGGGAGGGCTTGCCTGGTGGCTCAGTGGTAAAGAATCCGCCTGCCAATGCAGGAGACAACAGATTCGAGCTCTGGGTCGGGGAAATCCCCTGGAGAAGGAAATGGCAGCCTACTCCAGTTTTCTTGCCTGGGAAATCCCATGGACAGAGGAGCCTGCAGGCCACAGTCCCTGGGGAAGCTGAGTCGGACACGACTTAGGGAATAAAATGCAATGCAGTACAACAGACAGGGACCCAAGCATTGGGAGGGGAGAGAAAGCTGAGAGAAGAGCTGGGGCGGTATGGGTGGCAGGGATAGGAAGCAGCCAGGGGAAGGAAATATCTAGGGGTAGAGACACATGGAGTGCTTCTGGACCCCAAATGTACACACACACCATTTTCCATGGCTTCTCCTTGGAGCCTCTGGTCTGTCTTTCAGCTGGGGGTGCAAGACCAGGTCCCTGGCAGGGATGCAGACAGAGCTGGCGTCCCTAGGGAAAAGTGTCCCCCTCCTCACATCATTTTTATGTATCACCCTGGGGTCAGTTTCCAGCTGGTAGCCTGGCAGAACCTTCTGGGCCAGTCGCTCACAAACTGGATTTGAACTGCCCCTTGAGAGACTGGTGTCTGCTTGCAGGATGGGCCTGTGCCCCATGTTTCTTTCATGCACTGTTTCAGCATGTTGAACACAGGTCAGGCTAGTGGGAAGTTAGTGCCCACCTGTCTACCCAGTTGTGATGCTGCCGTGTTCACTTCTGTGGGGTCAGAAGGAATGAGGTCAGGGCTTGGATCCAAGGTTTGTGCAGCTTGCAGAGTTCTTCCTGTTTTCTGTACCCCGAGTGTAGCGTTGACTAGACATAGATTTTCTATCAGGGAAAGGATGTCTAGCCTGCTGTTTCCTGAAACAGAGTGTTGCATTTTTATCTCCTCTGTCCCTCTTTCCGGCATCCTTGGTGGTATTCTTACAGCCAGTGCTTAGTTACAGCAGCAGGACTTGGCTAGGCTGTCAGAGACCAAGGCCTTTTTTGGAAATGCTGCATTCCTCTGCCTGCTTGCTGCCACTTCTGTCTTTTCTTTCTATTTTTCTGTTTCTCTCTTTTTTTTTTTCTTTCTCCAGTGCATTCTTTAGTCAGGTGTGGAAAATCACTTGAATGTTGTGCTTTCTATTAAGATTATCTTCCAGAGGAGAAATTTGAGAATTGACACTGGTAAAATAGGTAATCACAGGACTTCAGATGTTCTTGCCATTTATTTGAATTAAGGTACTTAAACATTTTGTTGCAGCTGTTGTCTGGATTCTGATAACTTAAGTCATACAGTAAACATCCATGTAACTAAGGATGTGAAACTGTCATGAACTGAATGTCAGATTTGTCTGTGTCTTTAAAATTGTCTCCAAGAAGGTGTGTTATTCCTTAAGAAGTAGATTTAACTAAAACAGAAGTGTAGGAATTACAGCAAAGTAAAATTCAGTCTCACAAAACCTTGAAACGAGATAATCTGCATTATCTGAACAGTTTTAAGTTAACCAGACATTCCCTTTTTGGAGAAACGACTTTTGCTTGAAACCTTCAGCTGCTTTTAAAGTATATATTTCTTGTGTAATGTGCCATGGAAAAACTAATCAGATAACAGATTTTGTGAGTATCAGCTTTGTGGTAGCGTTTGGACAGCATTATTGACAAAGCCCATTTCCTGAACTACCAAAGCAAGGACAGCAGTTTATTTCTTAGAGGAATTTTGTGTAGATTTTCTTGGCTTTTAAAACTGGTAACCACAGGGACTTCTCTGGCAGTCCAGTGATTAATACTATGTGCTTCCAGTGTAGGGGGCGCAGATTCAATCCCTGGTCGGGGAGCTAATAGCCCACATGCTGCATGATGCAGCCAAAAAGTAAAAACTTAAAGAAAGAAAAGGATCAATTGCACATTCACTCTTGAACTATAAGAAAAGTTTGTAATTCTTTCTTAATGTGATTTTCATTTATTTTACCTATGTGGTCTTTTAGATCTCTTAAGGCTTTTTTAGAGTCAGCGCTGTAAGTTTTCAGAATTAAGGATTAATCCTACGTGGAAAATTGACAGTGCGTTTAATTTGCAGCCAGGGGAAGGCTGAGCGCTGCTCAAGAAATCTGACAGGGCCCTGTGTGAGTTAAGTCATGTTGGTAATGAAAACATTGAGAGCTCAGAGCTGTCCGGTGGATGTTCACACTGGTGGAACATGACAGGCCGGCCAGATCTACTGTTAACATTTCTTTCTTCTTGCAGATTTTTTTTTAAAAAAGTATTTCTTTGGCTGTGCCATGTCTTAGTTGCAGCACTCAGAATCTTTAGCTGTGGCATGTGGGATCTTCCTCCCTGACCAGGGCTTGAACCCAGGCAGTTTTGTCGAAATACCACCAATCTAGCATTGTTGGTGGCCTGTACCTTTGCATTCTTGTTAAATCTAAGACGGCTGCTGGATTTTGATGTAATACTTGATTTCCCATCAGGAGCTTGATAAGCTTTTGGCGTTTATGTTAATGGATGGATTCCTTTAACTGGAGAGTGTCAGGAAGTTGGAAGCCCTATTGAAACCCCATCAAATTCCATTAGTGATACTAACACTGAGGAGTCCTGGTTACCGACTCTCTGTGTTGAATAAGTCCCAGGCACCTGACATCTTGTCAAGTCCTCCCAGTTATCCTGTGAGCAAGGTGTTCTGATGCTGATAAGGGAATGAGGCTTGGGGTTCAGTAGCTGGTGTGGGATCCCCAGGGTGACGAGCAGTGGGGTCTGGCTAGGCATGCGGGCTGCCATGCCTCTGCCCCTTGGTGGGGCTTACCTGAGTCTTGGGAGGTGCTGGTGGTAGCAGACCAAGCCTAACACAGCCACTTAGCAGTGGGGCCTGCTGGCCGAGGCTGGGTTTCGTCATTCTGTAGGTGTTGCCTGGATCCTGCCCCTTTAGTTTGGTCCTAGTCAGATTGTGGTTTAGGGCCATGTTCTTCAGACCTTGAGAAATGACCTCCTCTGGAGCAGGGAAGCCGAGGAAGCATCTAGTCCAGGGTGGTGGGGATGGTAATGGTAACCCAAGCCATATGTCTGTAATCTCTCCCAGTCGAAACAGGTGCTTGGGAAAGGCACCAGGGCCCACGCCAGCCTTAGGAAGCAGCACAGGAAGACCACCCATTAACACACCCAGGTGGGAGCCCTTCCCTGTCAGGGCGGGCACAGCATCCTGGGTGTGCCCTTGCCAGCCTCTGTTGCCTGTACCCACCCCCCAGCATGCCCCCACTCCAGTCTCCAGGCCATTCCAGAATAAACTTTCCCCTCCAAGGCCTGTCTGTCCCCTGAACTTAGGTCCCAGGAGCACAAGCTGCCAGGGAGAATCTGATGTCATTGCCCCGGGGACTGGGGTGGGGCTGGTGGGAACATGACCTGACTGCTCCTCAGCAGCACCTCACTCCTGATGGGATTAGCTGAAGTGGACCCTGGGAACACAGGGCACAGGAGTTCTCCTGTTAGACTGTGACTCCTATTGTTTTCTTAAAGGCCCATCTCAATCAGGCTGAGATACCTGTTAGGGGTTGAGTGAGAGGGGCCCTTGGAAGGCAGTGTTGAGTGGCAGCTCTCAATTCAGACAAAACCTGACTTCAGGGTATTTTAAGGAAAACCTTTCAAATGATAGAACTGTTATCTCTGTTCCTATCACAAGTACATGAGGTATATTGAAAGTTTTTGAAGTGTGGATTTTGAATTTTCATTTTATACATTCTAGAACCAAAAGCTAGCTCATCAACCTCAGAGTATAAGTTAATTCCTAATATAGATTTTTTTTTTCTCAACATATTCTGTTTCTGAATGTTTTTTAGTTTTGTATTGTCTTTTGTCTGGATCTACCAATGTATATATTTAGAATGATCAGAATAGCTACATCAAATTTAAAAGCATTTTCAGATGATCCTTTAAAATTGTTTTCTCACATTGAGTGTAATTGGTGTTCTGTGTGGCTGTGGAGTTAAGGAGATCAAGACCATTGACCTGGATGAATAACTGAAGAGTCCTAAAAAGTAAAGTAGACAGGTAGAAAGGTATTCGTAGACCTTGTATTCACTCTTTATTTTATATTAATAGATTGGAAGTCTCTGAAACTTCAGATCAGGG